GCCACGCGGGTGACTGCTCTGAGGGCTGAAAGGCCGAGCATGTGCCAGAGCTAAGAGCTTACCCGCAGTAACCAGTCAGTTCATTTCAGAATGGCTTGAAAGCAGCCTCTGGTGACACCTCAGCCCTGCAAACAGAAAACTCTTACAACAGAAAGTATGGTTTCTCCCTGACAGTAGCTGCGACACCAGTCAGCATTTCTAGACCAGCCATTTACAGCAGACATCTTACTGACAGGTTATTTGTAACACTGGCTTTTTGGACTGTGATCATAAAGGAAAATATATTTTTATCACAAAAAATATGCACGAGCTCAACGCTGATTCATCACAGCTGAGCTTAAAGGCCCACTCTTCAAGTCTTTGTAACAATTCCTGAAGACAAATGGAACGCTATTTAAGTATCAGCTGACACATCCTGGGGGACGCCTCCCTGCCTGTGCAGCCCAGCAGCTCAGTCAAGCCTCTGCAGCCCAGGCACTAAGATTCTAATATTCTACTTTATGCTCCAAGCGTTCAGCAGAAAAATAAAACAAACCCCTTTTACCAAAGGAGGGACTTCACCCAAGAATGCTGCTGTTTTCAGTCTTTGGAAGCTGCAGTCACAGGCTCAGGAAAGTAATTTCTCACTGTTTTAAAATTCACTAGAGGAAGAAAAGAAATCTGAGACATTTAGGTTCGGAGAGTTCCCAGTTTAATGCTTAACACAACCTTTTATTCCTCTTGTCATTTAGGTCTTTGTCATAACCAGAGCAGATACTGTATCACTGAAGTCTAAAGTTTCCTTACCCACTTTACTCACAGCAGAGCTGAAGCCCTGGATAATTCTTCAACAGGATTTAAATAAAACTGCTAGAATTAAGATATATTTTTGTTTGAAAACAGTAATTAAATAAGTTTGGTTTCACAAGCCTTGAAAAAGGTTTGAAAACTCTTTGTAGGGAATACATATTTACATTAATGTCAATGGAGATCACAGGGCTGAGATAATCATTTACTTCTCTTAAATCCACCAGGAATGAAACACATTGCCTTAAAAACCCAGGGGGCGTGGGGGTCCACCTGTCACCTTTGCATTAAGGTCGAGAAACCTTTATTTGCCTGTTTCTTAAAGATATCAGTGTAGGATTCTTACCTCTGAGCTTCAACAAATTGAGCTGCCCTTGACAAAATACCTCCAACATTTCTTCTCTTTGAAGCAGCAGTAACAGGCTGCCCACCATTGCCTCCAGCCCACAGCTGCACTGGGCAGTATTTTGCAGCATGTCAGCTCCCAAACAGGATAGCACAACAGTTGCTGACATTAAATTGGAAAAGCAACCATTGTCTTCCCCATCTATGCCCATTCTCCTCATTTCTCTGCCCTTTCCAAAAAGATCTAAGTTTCTCCCAAACCCCACCAAAAGCAAAAATCACAAGTAAACAAACAAACTGACATAATCTCTTTCTTAACTTAGACATATCACTACCATGGCATTTTTCCTTCCTGGGATACAAGCAACGGGAGAGATGTCTCAGACCCTGCCGGTAGGGAATGCATCCACTAAATAGGTACCAGACAAGACAGGAAGAAGCCAATGCTGAGTTTTCAGCTAATGCTAGAATAAGATAACCCCCAAATGACACCAGGCATCTGGAAGCTGTCTGCAGCATGCATGGCCAAATTCTTCAAAAAATATTGAAATAATTTAAAAAAAAAGCTCTAGAGACAATTAGAATAGAGCCAATAGATTTTGTGTTATTGAAAGAATAAAGTCAGTTCATCCCTACAGACCAATTCCAAACCATGCTTTGCAACCATCTATTGAAAGGCCACCTGGCTGCACTGTGGGCCTTGAACCAAAACATCTCGCACCTTTTGGGTGCGCTAAACTGGATCCTGAAATTCAGTTTTTCTTCACACTGAAGATCTTTTCATAGGCTAGCTTCAAGGGTTAATTTCAGAAATTTTCTCACGGAAGTAGGAAGGCAAAAGGTCACCTATACAAGGGACTTTAAATGTTTCTCCATGAATAGTATGGGCAATTTTTGAGAGGGGATCAGATGCTAGTGCACTGAACTCCACCTGAGGAAATAACAACTGCAAATCATGGTGACTGATGTCATCAGAAAGCAAAGCTTCCTTTGATGCAGAGGAGAGCATTTTTCCTGAGGGAATAAGGGGAAAAGGACAAACATGAAATGGAAAAATCCTACACCAACCACCAAAGCGACCTGCCAAAGTATCGGGAGGCTCCTCATGCAAGCGTCAAACAGAAAGCCCCCATTTCAGCACTTGAAATGTCAATTAAAAATTCCCAAGTAAAGCCTACAGCAATATCCAGAACACCCGAGACACAGCAATGAGCCCCTGAGCAGGAAACAGCAAGAGCAAGAGCTAGGCCTGAAAATGCCATTTCCAAAGGCTCCAAGGAAGGAGACTGCGCTGGTGTTAAGAGTTCAGTTCAAGTAGTAACACTAGATCAAAGCCACTCAAGTCATGGTTTTTAAAATTAATAAATAAAACCCAAGTCGTTACGACCTGATGACAGGCGAGAGCTAAAGTAGCTACAGGGAATGCGCACCACCCTGCCCAGGGTGCCTCGGTGCCACACGCTCCCCCAGGCTCGCTAAGGGCGATAGGCAGCTCCCGGTGCCCATGGAGGTGTTCACCGCCCAGCAGCAGGATGCTGACAGGGCCTGTGCCTTCTCCGGCTTCTGTTGATCTAAACCCGACGCAGTGGAAGGCCTACTGCTCCATTTCAATGTCAAGAACATTAAGCTGAAGAATTAAGAATTCAGTAGACAGAACTTTAAAAGCACTTTTTAAAGACAGTATTTAAAAAAAAAAAATAAAACCCATAAAGCTCTTTTGTGAACAACAGGAGAACAGAAAAACAAAGGAGCATTTTAATCGACATTTTCACACATCAAACATTTCTCTAAAATGCCAAAATTTTAAGATGAGAATCACGTCCCTGGCTGGATTTATTGCACCAGAAGAATGGTCAATGCTCTTACACATAGAAGAAACCTCCACAAAAGTGAATAGGACTGTGAATACTCAATATTGTCTAAACCAGACACTCTTTGTCCCAAAATGCTATATTCAAATGTCTATTTCAATGAGAATAAAATGTGTGGTAAAGTTAAAATAGTGAAACTATTATCTTGAGTGAAGATCTTTTCAGGAGATTATTTGCTTTTCCTTCTGACACATTTTAAACTGGCACACCAGGCAACTGAGTACTGAAGTGAACTCCCTCCAACCCCACCAGAAGAGCAAAAAAACCTGAGTTCTTTGAAGTCAGGTATTTTCTGCTTTCAAACAAACAGGTTACTTACAACAAATCCTTCTAAGAGCAGATTTCACAAAGCTTTAAATTTCTCTCTGAATGGGCTTCTGAACTGTTATTGCTAGTTATTATTAGTAGGCACAGAAATTCCCATTTTAATTAGAAACTTTATTTTGAAATACATTACACAGTTTACATGTGAAGTGCTTTCACTGTAAGATATTTCATAACATTCTGCTGAGCAAAATGGCTGACCAATTTCCTTGAAGCTCTTCCAGTTATGTTTGGTTTTTATTAAAACTATCTTACAGAACTAAGGTGCAACTTAGGCATTTGTATTCAGAAGCTAATTACTACGTTTACCTTAGGGTGAAAGTATATACTTAACCGTTCCAACTATGTGTTTCAATAATGATGTTAAGCATTTGGCATAAGACTGAAAGAAACCTGAGTCCTAATTGAGCTTGTATTCACCACAGATTAAAAAAAAAAAAAAAAAAATCATCTTTGTGATCAAACTACTATTTTAATAAGGCACAGTCAGACAAGTATTTATAGACTGGCTACCAACTCAGTTTTACCTGCACAGCCTTCCTGCTGGTCTGTCAAAAGTAATCTGAAAGTTGTTTTCCCTGTCTGCTGCTGAGACTTTCTGAGAACAAGGCAGAGCAACAAGGCAACTAAAAGAAGGGACATGCAAAGGAGTTTGGCATTTGGGATGGATTCTGAACATCTGCAAAGTAGTTCATTTTGTAAATGGAGCATTCACCTGCTATTCTTAAAACAGCAGCCAACTGTGACAAGGAAAATAGAAGTGGTGCAAGCAGCGTCTGTTTGCAAAAGGGCATTTTAATAGGAAGAAACAGGATGTGTGGTATGCTTTCAGGTGAAGATTTTGCATGCAGCAATTCCCACAACTTTCAAAGATTATCTAAATTGAACTCCAAAATTCCCCTCTGCCCCTCAGAAAAGCTGAATGTACCAGGAGGTTGCTTGACAGCAGGTGAAATGAAATCTCCATTTAGATAATGAGCCAGTACTGCCACCCTACTTTGCATTTCTTATTAGAACAAAAGGAAGTCTTCAGGAATGATAACTAAAATAATTACACCATTATTTTGGCTGGAAGAAAGTTCAAGAACTCTTAAGATGTGATGATGTTTAAAGAACATGAAACAATTCTACCCACAATCAAAGAACAAAAAATAAAAATAAAAAGAGAGAAGCCTTACCTTCCTCTCCCAATTAAATCTTTGAGGAATAACTGCTTGAGCTTAGCACTGTATGGCTTCTGTGGCCTATGAATGCTTGACAGATACTCTAAGAATTATTTTCAAGCTACTGTTTGTTTTCAATTTTAAGTAATTTCAAATAAAAATACTGCATCTATTTCACTTTAATAATCAAACGGCATAAAAATCATCAAAAGTGTATTTCTGATACAAATTTGTATCACATACTAAAAGATACTTATAGATAATTGTAAAACAAAAATAATTAGAATATATAAAAGGTTTTTAAAATTCTTTCGCACATCTGAACTCATAGTGCAGGTTTAAGATAAAAAAAATCTGTAAATGAAGTAGTCATAACAAATGTTGAATATAAAATACATTCTACAGTATTTTACAGAATGGCTGAATTATCAAGCATAAGAACTGAGGATAAAGGATGTTAATGACAAGCAGCCACGTACAGAACACAAAGCAATAAGTTTAAATCAGACTATTTTGGTTTGTGTAGCCCTTTATTAGCAACTAAAATAGAAGATATCTGTTGTACATCACGGGATTAACTGACTATACTGGAGTTTTATTATATTCTAATACAGGATCATTTATAAATGCGTTGTTTTCCTTTTTTTTCTTTTATTAAAAAGCTTCCACCCCTTTTTCCATTTACAACTTGCAAAACTATTCTGAAAGCTGAGTACATGTGCACAGGTCTGCAAAGAGTGCAAATTTAGGATATGGAAAATGCTTTACATGTTGTATTTGTAAGGACTGTCTGCCACCATGCCTTCACAGCCAAAAAAACAAACAAACAAACAAACAAACAAAAAACCACATGTTTTGATACCAGCCTTCTTTCCATTGTCCTAAACAAGAAAGCATTTTTAAATGAGTTGAAACTAAGGAAGGACTACACCTACTAGAAAAGGAGAGAGTTCTATTAGTTTGAGGTTTCAGTATACCCAAAGACCAGGGACTGTATCTTTGTAAGGGCTAGGCTGGGACCCCGTATACAGAGTGTGTGCAGGTGCCATCCCTGAGCATTCAGCAGTTCAGTGGACCATCAGCGCTCCAGCTGCATAACTCACTGAGCTGTCTTGCCAGTTTCGACACTGGCTTGACTGAGCATAATTCAAAAACGAAAAGCTCATATTCATTCCATTCTTCTGGAGCTCGTTGATAGCCTGAAGAGAGAAAATAAGCTGTTTAAAAAAAGGTGTCAGTGGAATTACGACATTTCCTCGATCTCAGTCCTCTGCCCTCCCCCCAGGGGTCCTTGCACCATCTCTCATAATAACACAAGCACCTCTGAGTAATCTGTGGACCCAGCCCACTTCCGTGCCGTTTCATTCACTGATGCTCCCAGCTCTGCTCTATGTACATCCATGCAATTCTATAAAGTGACACTAAACAACCTTTCAAAACAGATCCTTTAGGAACAATGCTTTCAGTTCCATAGGGAATTTATACAGAAACACAGATGTAACTGTAATAACCCCAACACCACGAACACTCTTTAGATCGTATATCTTCCATTAAGGAAAAACAACGTACCAAGATAATTTACTAAAGTGTGATGCTTGGCAAAAGTGAATGAATAGACTTTAGCTCAGATTCACTGCAAAACTAATCACCATCTGAGGTTAAGAGTTGGATATTTTTTGCAGAGTTGCCACAGCACTAAATTTTGCTACATGCGCCCTCAATATTGATACTGCTCATACAAACTTTTATAGATTCTGCTATATTCATCTATATGGTCTCCATATAGACTACGTTTCCAGGGAATTAAGTTTCCACCTATAAATTTCACTTATAAGAAGGTTAACATGCTTCCTGCTTCAGATTTGAATTACAGTAAAAATGCAGTGAGATTCACTCAAGCAGTATGACAAATCTGCAGCACTCTAGCAGTGCTGTAAAGCAGCTGTGACCCAATTTAGACAAGCAAGTTAAGCCAGGTTTATGTCTGCACTGCATCACAAAGCAGAATACGGTAACCAGGAAGTACCAGTTAATCTGAATTCTAATTGCCATTAATTTATGAGTTAGCAGTGCACTGCACTAATACTTACAGAGGCACTCTCTCATCATATTTGCAAAACTCAAAAACGCTGCCAGATATCACGAGGCACTCACAATAGCTAGCTAATAGCAACGCAGAAAAAAATATATACACGTTTGTAAATACTGATTCAAAAGAGTAAGTATGTACTTCTTCAGGGAGATGGATTTATTTCTTTGTTTATTTAGGGCCAAGAGAAAGTGAATGATTGTATTTCACTGAAGTTCAAAAGGAACATAGTACCTCACCTCCCTCAGAGAACTGAAAACCCTCAGCCCTTGTAAGAGCTTACATGTGTCTATATGCAAGAGATGGAAACTGGAGACCAAATTGAGAACGCCTGGAAAAATAAATTAATTCAAGACTTGCCACTTTAGAACTAAGGAATATTCCAGCAATACTGTGTTTAAAACAAATGTAAGGATTTTGCTAGAAGTTATATTTTTCAATAAATCAAAAGTTACTTACATTTAATAATACGCCAATAGGATGTCTTCCACATATTGTATTATGGTATTTCTTCAAGTAGTTGCTAAAAGATACAGGATCTAGCTGCTCTATAATGCTCATACCCTGAAAAAGAATCAATAGCAATGATTACTTCACACATTCATAAGCAGGTGTTTATACATCATCTATTTATGACAAAAAGGAACAATTCAGGAGGAAAAAACCTCTATCAAGGATATCAAGGGAATCTCAGCATGTGAGCTCTAGCTTGTAGTCATGTTGCTGCCATCCCTTGCCAAACTAAAAGTGCAGAAGCTCTTCCAAAGCTGTCAATGATCCACAGAGCTGTGAAGCTATCTTTGCAGATACCAGTGAAGCTCATGTTAAAAAAGCTCCTCCTGTAGACTAGCTAATCCCCACCTCCGAGGGTGCCCTACTTCCATAAGATTTTGTACAACAATAACCAGACAGATTTACTACAAGGGCAAAGCAGGGAGAAGTTTTGCTTCCATCTCCCCTCCCTGATGACAGAGTTCAGGGCTGAGCACCTGCCTGGGACTTCTGGATGTCCAAAACCCCTAGACACATCATCAATACACACACGTGCAATTCAAGCACGTAGCAAGTGTAAAGTATCCCAGACACGGCCGGCATGCAAGGCAGTTGATCTGGGCACAGGCTGGTCATCTGCTCAGAGCATAAAAAGCAGATCCAGAACATCTCTAAAGCACCAGAGGGTTGGTGCACCACAGAAACGTAAGAGCCAGGAGACAAGGCTTTCACTTTACATGAGGCAGTCACATATACACATCCTTTTCTCCAACTACAGCGAGACCCACGATCACATGGAGTCATACTTTGAAAACCAGCACATGTTTGGAAAACAAAACCTTCCACATATACAAACATTTGCATTCTTAAAAGCAAAAAGAATCCTACAGCTCCCGATAGAGCCTACTCTTACCCCATCCCACAGAGCAGATCAAATACAATGAAAGTAGTTTAAAGCAAGTCTAAATCAACTATTGTCTGGGTTTTATCATGGCTTTGCTATTTTGCCTGTATTCGACTCCATCCTCTTGTATTTTTCCTTCTTCTAAAAATTATTAATTCCCTTCAACAGGTAAATATGCTCCAGGCACTCTCTAATTCAGCAAGATGCACAGCTGTGCTTCTTACATGTAGCTGATGAAACACGAAGGTTTTCCTCAGAGACTGGAAAAAAACAAGACACTTTGCATGGGAACAATAGGAGGTTGATACCAGAAGGCAAGAGACTTTCTCCTAAGGTTTCTGCAATTGTCCCAGCCCCTTCCCCTGCTTTTGGAAAAGTGTGGGTGATAAAAGAAGAAATCAGGATGCAGGAAGCAGTCAGTCTGTCTGAAGTCTCCACCTCAAGAGTGAAACCTCTTGAATACTCTGCAAGGGCGTTGGCTGATCTGGCAGATACGCTAATTATTCATACTGGATCACAGCTTACAATGGAAGAGCTGGAGATTCCCAGGAGAGTCAGGGAGGATTAGAAAACAGCAACCATAACCACTACCTTAGTGTACTTTTAATTAAAAACAGACATAAGATGAATACATAAGGAGATAAATTTTATGGAAAAGTAAAACCAAACTATGCTGACCAATTGCTTGCAAGAGCTCAGTTCTTCCAGGCTCATGGGAGAGGGTGTTTGGACCCCTGACAGCTGTTATTCACTCCAGATCTAAAGAACCTGAGTGCCAAAAAAGTAAAGGTAGCTATTCTCTAACTAGCAGTGATTACAAAGATACTATTGCATTTCTAAAGTTTAAGCAGCATGTCTTTGAACCATCCGTTTACTTGTAAATTGTACATGTCAATACACAGCTAAAGAAAGCAGAACCAAACTTAACTATATACTCAAATGAAAATAAACATGCATAAGGCACTTAATCAGACAGTGAACAGCTCATAAGAATATATGTTATCCATTTGTAAACCCTTTCACAACTTTTTAAAAAATGAAAATGGCTGCTCAATTGAGAGATTCATTTTATAGCTGTAAGTCACTGGAACATACTGGGCAGAGGCATTTGAGCATTTGTCTCAAAACAATGGACACGGATTTATCAGAATGCCTAGTAAGCTTATTTCAATGCACAGTTCAGCACTGCAAAACATTTAGAGCTACACAGTTCATCCCAGCAAATGCTAACAGAGCTCCATACATCACAGACTGGAGAAAATCCATAGGAAATTGATATTAACACATACCCTATATGCATTCAGCTCTACCGAACTTTTCAATCTTTTAGATTTAAAAATCATTATGGCAGAAGAGCAAAGACTAGCAAGCTTGTTTCTCAGTCTAAAATGGTGTTGAAGAACAAAGGAAACATTTTTGTCAGATTGTGTTTTATTTTTCTAAAAAGCAGGAGTACGACACCAATCATTTTCAGTATTCAAAATAACTCAGCTGGGCATGGTTTAGAACAGAGTTAAAATACACAGCAAAACCCCACATGATAAAAGTGCAAACCATCACACAGTTCTGCAGTTTATCACATGGTTATTATGGCACCACATAGACATTGTGTATCTCAGTTAACCACGTACTGTAAATGGCATCTACCATATCCTAGCACAGTGCACTTAATATGATTAAAAGCAGTTACATTCTTAAATATCATCCACTATAGGATCAAGTATCCACAAGCTTACCAAAAAAACCCTCAAAACCACAGACTTATTTTATACTATACTCCAATAATCCTTTGGCTGGTCAATTTTAAGTTTGCAATCAGTTACTTCAGCTGCTTTTTCACACTTAAAAAACCATAAACTAATAGCACACTTACGAAAGTAGAAACAAACTTCGTCTTAGCACTAGCCTATCCAACCGTCTTTCTATGTGTGAGTCACTCAGACTAGAAGATAAACAACCAACAGGAAAATTACTGGCTGGGCACAGCAGAGTGAGCAGGGAGCTGGGCACCCAGGCAGAGTCGTGGTCTTGCATTATGCCCAAGCTAAGAAGTCTTCCCAGGCTGGAGCACAGTGGATAGGTGATGGCACTGCAGAAGCCACCAGAATTCAGTAGCTCATTAGAGACACCTGAGAAGCCACCCATGCCATGCATGGCTCCTGCACAGCTCTGCTCAGCGCCTGCATTACCCTTCCCCTTCAGCATTCAGGGTAACAGAATCCTCCTATTGACTCATGCGAGGCATAAGGTTTCACAAACAGATATCAAATGAGCAATCTGGCAGTGGAGACTGAAGGGAGCTGTCTGCATTTTCTGGCCAGCCATAGTAAAACAATAACTACTCTTCAATGATGTCTTACAGAATACTTCCCCATTTTTATTGAAAAATATGGAAGGTATCAGGTTATGATATACAAACAAATTATTGCACATCAGCTGCCCAATTATAATTCTTCATTTGAGGATTCTTCCCTAAGGTACCCCTGTTAACCATGGGGCTGTTTACTCCTTTCACTGTCACTTCACAAGGTGCAGTGTGGTACCCCCAGGGTAACAGTGGTCACATTAAGGGTTACCATGGAGAAACGGATGTCTGCCCAGCAATATTTACTACTCTGTATTTTCTTTATGCTGGAGTCTAACTTAAAATCACTGCAAATAGAATTTCTCACAATGGTTACCAGGTCAGTAAATCTTCAATGCCCAAAGGGTTCAGCATTGTTTACGCATTAGCCAGGAAAATCATCATGCATCTGTACTTAAGGTCCAGTCTAAATAAGGAAGAAACCATTGTCCTCCCAGAAGGGCATTTATAAGGAAAAGTAATTTCATCTTAACCCAGAGTATCTTCCTGCTTACAAAGTGCTCAGCTGACTGCTTTCCTAGGTAGGTCCATTAAAATTACTGGGCCAGTAATAGCAGAGGTTAAAATCTCTGATGGTTTCAGTACAGTTTTGTCTCTATCTTAATGCTCTGTTCTCTGTGGAGAGGCCTAGTGGTTACAAGAAGTTTCTTTAGCATGCCAAATGACATAAAAAAATTCAATACTTATCTAAAGAAAAAAGAAGTAGCTGAGAGGGGCATATGAAATGGAATAAATTCCTTCCAAAAGCCGGAGAAACATGACAAGGAGATCTTTGTGGCATTGTGGATAGCATCCCAAGTGTACCCACAATACTGCTAAAAAGAAATCTCCAAAATTCACCACAAGTAAAATCTACTCTGTACAGTATTTGAATACAGAGTCACATGTTCACATATGGCACGACATAAACAGGCAAAAAATAACCACAGTATGCTGCTATGCAGCATGTTTAATTTTCTAGTTAAGATTGAAAAACTTATTTTCATAGTTATTAAACAGTAGACATCATTTTCAATGTTACAAAAAATGTAATTTCCTTTTGGCCGAATAACTACCAAAAGAAAGAGTTGGTGCAGCAACGTATTCACTAAAAGTAACTAAATGCCAAAGTCCAGTGTTTCTACAAGCTTTCACCACAGAAATTAACAAGGGGAAGCCAATGTTTGCTAATGCACCTTAATCTGCTCTCCTGTAAAAACACTCAGAGCTGCAAATTCTGGGACTCTACAAAAACACTTGTCTTTTTATAAAGACGACAACAATTGTTGTCTCAACTGACAACAAGAACTATTAAAAATGGGATAAATAAAATGAAGGCAAATTATTTACTGTTTCCATTCCAGTGATGAATAGTGGAAAAACAAAGAGGTTAGTATGGATACACAAAGCAAAAAACTCCAGAGATCGATCCACCACATAGGATTTAGCACTTCAAGACAAGGAACAAAATTAACATGCCCTGAATAACAGCAGTTCTCCCTTCTAACAGACTTTACAAAAGTTATGTAAATGATCCAAACAGTTTTAAAACAAATTTTAAGTTTATGTATTTCTAGAAGAATTACTTCTATTCTGTGCCTTAAGGATAGTCTTGAACGTTAACACAATTTTTTCATTTAAAGAGAAATCCTTGGCTCCTATGACTGCAAAGAAAATGCAACATAATTGGCACCATGATCCTTAGGTATTTAGGATTCCTTTCAGCTGTTTGCCAAACCCAGAATGAAGTATGGTCTGCTGCTTTTCCCCACCATCTACTACACAGTAAGGGGCTGGGGGGAAGACTACTCCCAAGGGAACAGCGACTTCGGCTTTCCTGACCAGCACAATCCCCTACAGCCTTTCCTCTTCACAATGGATGTTGGTGAAATCATTAGCATAATCACAATGCTGTTTCGATATGCAGGTATCATAGCTGTCAAGCCTGAACTACCACAATACTCAATTCATATATCTTATTGCTTCTAAAAAACATAAGAGGGTACGTGGACAGGAATTACATTACACTAGGGCATTTTAGGTAGGTGAACATGCATTTATTCTCATAAATTATGCTTACTAGATTATACCCACAATATATTGTGTCCAGTCAGTAAAATGGAGGATACTAGCTAAAAACAACAGCTAAGTTCTTATTGTGGTAAACAAAGGAAAAGTATACATTCAATAAAATAGCTAATCTATAATACTTTGTTAGAGAAATTTCTAAAGTGTTCAAAAGAAATGTAATGTACAGGAGAAATTTGTTAGTTAGTTCCACCAAATCTGAAAACTTACCATTTTATCTAGGTGCTCAATGGATCTATAAATTTCTCCTTGGGATTCATCATAGTAACTGTAACGGAACCTCTGACCTTGAAACAAAAATCATGTATAAAATAAAAAAGGGAAAAATTGTAGCTAAAACACTCCCTAGTACTTACTAAATAATTGAAATTATAATATTTGTAAAGTAGTAATCTTCATTTATTTTATACTTTTTAGCTCCGCTGAGGAAATTCTAGGGCAATCAAAGTAGCAGCCCAGAAGCAAAGTAAAAAATACATGGTGGGCAGCTATGGTCCTAAAGAAAAACCTACCATGTAGAACTGACACTGCAGTATCACTTACTAATTGCCTGTTATTGCAACGTAACTCTAGAAATCAAAAAGTAAAGCAACATTTCATTTCGCTATCCCTCTTGACAAAGTCAGCCCTGGACTCAGGCTACTTCTGCTTGCACAACAATACCCACAGTAAATGAAGGTTAAAAGAAAAAGTTCATGATAATTCAATGAACAGTTCTAGATGGTTCATTAGCCACAACAGAACCCAGGTCATTCTTACATACCTCCACCTATTCCACGATTCAAAGACGAGTAAAATATGCAATTACGTAAGTTGACCAAAGATGACAATGAAAAAAGGGAAGAAGGTCTGTTGTGTAACATAAAACATATCTTTCTGAAGCAGTCCCTTTTCCAGCTATTACCACACTTAAAAGAAAAATAAAGTGTTAAAGCAGGACAGAAGTCAAGGCTTCTGGAGTCTTTATAGCTCTGCCACCAGGATGAACTGGGATAGCTCTGGTGAAACGGCATAAATAATCCATCTGCTATCTTACCCAGCAGTAAAACGTACAAAACTTATTGCCATCAAAGGGATGTTGCCACGTCCAGTGAATTTTTAGCTAATTAGTTTTGCAAGTTGCTTTGAGGTGCTTAAAAGAAGAGTAAAAAGAGCAAGAAACTTCAGACACTTATTTCATTGCAGCAGTGCAGAGATGCATATAAACCCATACACCTTCACCATTTATTTCCTCCACTACACTGAAAACACATTACCACATTAATATTTTTCATCTATGTTCCAGATTAAAAAAAAAAAGAAAAATCCCTTTTTAGCTTTACAGAGGCATTTTAAGTTTCAAAGATATATTTACGAGAAGTTAAAATGTTCAATGTTTAATGAAATACATTATTTTAAAAGCACTATAAAACATTCATCATACTGTTATAACAAAGAGATGTGAAACTTACCCCAATGGCAAAAGTCAGAAGAAACCACAAAGAGGTTACTAGGATCAGCTAGGTATTTACTGAAGAGTTTTCCAAATTCCTGCTCTTTTGACTCACTCAGCGCTCCGACCAACACAGGAATAATAGTAAACTCATCCTTATGGCTTATAAGCAAAAGAAAAGAGGTTGTAATTCAAGTAATATCTGAAGTTTTTTCAGGGCTTGCTAACTGACATTGCAGAATGTTTTAAAAGGGCACTACTGAATTGAAGATACAGTTAATTTGGTAAGGTCACACTAGGAAGTTGGTTTAGAACCTGAAACTACTTCAGTTTCAGAAAACAAATCCTCCCCCAAACAGTATTTATCTTTTCTGCAAAGTGAAAACACCAGGCAAACAAGACAACAAGAAATAAAGTGAGAATGAAATTACATATAAAGTCAGAATTAAATTATCCATGTATAGATGCTGCACAAATGTGGGTAATTTTGCAACGCATATGAAAATGTTCAAGATAGCACCCAGATGTATATTGCTAGTCCAGGGAAAACTACAAACACTATTGAAAAAAATATAAAAAAGATGGAAAAAAAATCCCACAACAAATTGACAAAAGTTATCACCTTTAAAGAAAAATTATTCAATGTACTCATCTGAAATAGAAGGTGTAAACAGAACCCTGATTTCAAAATTTGTATTAAAGCTCTGAACAAACTTAAAATCTCACAGGAACAGTTATTAGTATTTGAACTTCTTTCAGAGATGCCTTGCAAAAATAAAAAAAAAAAAACAAACTCAACAAAACCACAAAAACCAGCTATTGACAAACATTAATGGAATCATGTCTAATATTAACTCTATGAAGCCAATATAAACATATAAACTTGCTTATAAGGGGTGTTTGAATTTCACCACTCAGGTGTTTGCTCTGCTCACAGTTTCTGTTATAGCAACTAACCCTAGTCTCTGACCCTCTCCTCCCCAGAATTTTTACTGGGGGGTGGGGGGGCGCGAATGTGACACACCACATAGGGTATTATATACCATCAAGGATATTATTACTTCCTACCGCACTTCCCATGTAGTTCAAACATTTAATGCACGTAACACCCATTCTTGTAGAAGTAGTAATTAGCCCTAGTACCTTTCCATGGCTTTAGCAGTATAAGGCAAATGCATTTCAATACTGTGTTCATCTTCATCTGTCTGTAGGGACATACGCTCAAACATTCCAGTCTTCCACAATTCTCCATAAACTGAAATGAATTAAAGATTACTTTTTACTACTATTTTTTTTTTTTGAAACACTGCAAAGCAACTTACAGTGCATCTGTATTGGAACAATTCCACTATAACAAATTACTTGCCTCTAAGGGCTGTCATCATAAACCACTTGTTTTTAAATAAATTCAGGCTTAAAATTATGTTCAAGCCATTAAGATACAAACATAATTGATTTGGTTAAGCACCTTAAATCAGTGACCTTGTTAGTATATTGAGAAAGATTTTCAGTTATGATACAAAGTTTAACACAAATAAAACACATTCAAAAATAAACCATCATATGGTTTAATAAAAATTGTGATCAGCTGAACCATTGCTGAATATTGTGTTACTATTTAATACAACTCATTATTAACTGAATCATGAAATCTAGAGACAGCAAAAATTGATTAAGTAATCCACATTTATAAGTTGTCTTTTCTACTCTCAAGTGCACTTGGTGGTATGCAGAGTCATCTCTGTATTTTGAAACTCTCCACTAGATGAAGAATTTCATTTAGAGCTGTGCCTCCTTCTCCATAAAGCAGTTCTACAGAAACTGAAATGTTTGTTAGCCAAGGAAATTTCTATAGGCACTATGAACAAAGCCTGAACTGGCTTGCTTAATCACAAAATAGCAATACATCTGTGCTAATTATAGCCCTTCTAAAAAACATACTGTATTATTAGGTATACTTCAGAACACATGGAAGTCAAAATATCAAATTTATCTTCATCGCAACTTTAAGCTTAATCTGAAAGACCGGTATTTCACGGACTAACAGTTTTTAAGTTCTGTAGGTACTCTGCCAGTTAAAAAAAAATTGCACACAATTATGCAGCCAAATAAAAGCAGCTTTTTGTTCCTCTATTATTCCTCTATCACAAATAAACTCAAAACTAAAGCACTATCTTTTTTTGCAGAAAGAACACTTCACAGAATAATGGAGCAGGTGTGTAGTGGGCTACTATTCAAATTAACGCTTTTAAAGATCACTTGTCAAGAGGCACACACTCATAATGGAAAAGATAGGCAAAGATCAAGAATTCTTTACTTGCAGGAGCAAGAGAGACATGAAGGTTATAATATAGCAATGCCTGCAACCACCAGGATCTTTCAGAAGTTAGCTTTCATTGCAGTAAAAACAGATTTATACTTGTATGCCACTTAAAAGCAGTGAAGTGCCCAGCAACAAGAGAGTCCTCAGCACTGCAGTAGCACAGATAATACTCAAGTCTCAGCAATCTTCAAGATGTAAGCTTTATCATGAACTTACTCTTTTGGTCAATTCGGAGATCATACAGAGGTGTTCTATAAATGTCCACACTGGAAAGTGCACATCGGGAAAGGGGCACGTGATGGGAAGGCCCAAGAATGAAAACTTTTCGGCTACAACAGTTAACACAAAAACCCACAATTTAGACAACTGCAATTGTACAGAGACTTGGTTTATAGTAAAAAGTTTAATAAAAATGTACGAAGTTAACTGTCTGGTGGTTACCAATAGAATTTTACTCTGTTGTGCGTAAGACCACAGATCAATCCATGGCCTAGCCTTGCTCCATATCTCAGAAACGATCATGAGATCAGTCCAATAATGCCTCTCATAGCCTTAAACCTCTTAAGAAGTTTATATATGAGAGGGTACTCCTCAACTAGAAATCTGTCTGGGTGGACTCATTTGGAGGCCGAGTGATGTGTTATAGCCCCTTAGAACAGATTTTTGGATTCCCTCCTTGGACCAACACAACCTTCAGTTATACACCACCTACAACAACTACAGGTATGTGCTCTCAAGTGAGGATTATGGATTTATCATCTATTCAGAGCTTTTCACTTATTTACTTGATTAGCCTTACTTCAGATTTCACCAAATTGAAATTTAAGCCATTCTCAAATGCTGTTTTTATCCAGCTGTTGCATCAACAACACAGACTTGGACCTGCACATTCATAGTGACACTGCAAGCTTTCACACGTCATCATGATGTTATTTCATCAAGTCCTCAGTTCCTAGCTCTTGATTAGATGTTAAGAGTCTCCTGCCACAGGACTTAAAGAAGAAAAAAAAAAACAAAACCAAACTATAGGAAATTCAGCTCTTCAGATTCAGGATCATATCATCTTGCTTCTAGCACTGAACTGAAGGGGTGGGAGACATGTAAAAATTTTTTTTTCCCCTTACATGTGGAGTGCTATAGCAAGCTATACTAAAGCTATACAAGCTATACTAAAACTTCTTACACAGCTCATAAAAACAAAATATCCAAATGGGCAATACTTCAGCTGAAAGACAAATTCTAAACATCTTATATAGTAAATAGCAAATGGTCCAGGAAGTTCAATCAACTCCATGTCACTGAACCTGGGGAACACAACTTGTTCTAGAAATTTTAGATAAACTAGTTATCTGTGACACTGTAAATTATCTTCACTTCGTTTACAATAGTTCAGAAAGAATCAAAGCCATTGTCTTTGGAAAGCACTACAACATGTTGTCTTATAAGCAACTTATAGACATAGCCAGTTTTTATATTAACATTGCAAAACACATGCACTGAGTAAATACTGGAGATGTTTTAGATTTTTGTCATTTAAAAAACATTGCAGTCAGCAGAACACATAAGAATTATATTCCTTTAACCTAGAATAACTGGATTCATATTTTCAGAGGCAGGCACAGACTACAGTAGCATGTTGGGGTTTTTTTAATTTTTCTTTTTTTTAAACTGTTGTGCTGTTAGAAACATAAGTCCATTTAAAATTATTACAAGTAACTTTCACTGACTTCAAATATTATATACACACACTGGTCACTTTCTCCACAGCAGAAGAGAATCCTGGTAGCATTCAGCCCATAATCCTGCACTGAAAAACCAATGCAGAATCATGATCAAATATTTTAATACACTTAAAAACCAAACAAAACCTCCCAACAAAAAACAAAACAAAAAAAGAAACAAAGACACCCTGCGACCAGTAAAACAAAACCCAGCTTGTACTTTTATAAAAGCAATGCAAGGTAAAACAATAAAGTAAATTAAATGTTATTACCTGCAAAAAAAGAATACCTTTAACTCCTCCCTTCTAAAAAGTTAGTTACCAATAATTCTCAATATATTTAAAAAATACTGCTTTACATTTTCAATTTCAACAATACTACATTATTTTTTTCTTTTGTAACAGCCAAACAATTTGAACATTTATGATTAAAACAGAAGGGATGCATAAAAGACTAAAAGGAGTACAAAATTAAAATTTAAGTACTTCAAGATGTAAGGATCTAAAAAGAATATTCAAGTTCTCAGAGAATTGCAATGGCATCGTCTTAAGCTTTGTAAAGAAAAACTTTAATACTTACGTAATATTAGGATCCACTTGTTTGTAAGCATGGGCTGCACAAGATCCACAATAGGTATATCCTGCATGGCTGTAAATTCAGGTGTACAAAATGTTAACGTGTTTAATATTGTTTAAAATCTTAAATATGTTCATATTGCTATTAAATTTTAATGACTTAAATATTATTTGCCCCCAATGAGCTAGAAATAGTAAGAGTGATCCAAAAATAGACTCCGAAAAGAGCTGGAGAGCACTGTTGCAGTACTGAATGTACGAGAGATGTATTTGTTGAAGTACTATCAGTGACCATTTACTTGCAAGTCAGTAAACAAGCCCCCAGATCAAAGCACCTTTCATTACTTGCAAAAGATACTAGTAGGCAGACTACACAACTGCGTATCAACAGAAGTTCATGATAATGCTAAGTGCAGCCAGGGCACAAGGGAATAGCAGGCTCCTGCAGAAAGCTCTTCTAACCACACTCCAGTAACCGAATACAATGACAGTAGTGGGTTCGGGCAAAGAGAGACTACAAGTTACAGCAGATAAACAGAGAATAAAAATGCTCTGCCATTGAAAAAGAATACCTCGGCAACAGAATGAATGGGCACAAGCGAAGGAGTGGAAAGCAGCATGGTAGCTTTTACCACAGAGAATGCGATACATGCTTTATCACTTCCTATCACTCTTGCCTGGAGCCTTTCTGTACCTGTCTTCCTGTGTGAGCATCAAAAATATTCATAATTATTCTGTCTACTTGTTTCAAATATCACATCCAAATCTTAAGACCCATTCCCTCCAAGACTGTCAAAAACAGGAGAAGATTCAGTTTACAACGCTAAAAGTATTAATTCCAGGGAACGTTCATTCCCCAGGATTCCAGGCCCAGTGGTGGAAAACAGCTCACAATCACTCAGCAGCACGTCCACAGCAGAAGGCCATGCCCACATTGCACAGCCCTGGGGCCACATCACCTCTGGAGCTCACCTAGCACGTCTGTGACCCCAGGTCAATAGTTATTATTTATTTTGAGTCAAGTATGTGCAACAGCACAACTACAGCTTTCCAGATGGTCTTTTTATACAATGATACTGCGAATGATATGGGCTGCAAGGATACATACAGGACGTTTGAAGACACAAGTTCCCCATTGACAGCACCGGAAGATTTTATATGTATTTATACGTAAGTATGTTCACATGCATGTGTATTCACCCACAGAGTGATATCTGGAACAAGTTATCCTCAAGATTACTCTGGGGTTTTACTGCAGCATCACTTACCTCACTCATTCGAAAGAGCTCAGAAAGGTACAAATATACATGCTAAGGGGATAAACAGGAGACTGAGACCTAGTGAAGCAGCAAGGTATGTTATTTGACAGTGCCAAAAGAGCCTTCTGAAAGGTTCCCTCTGCTACAGCCTTCTTCAGTCTTTCACGAAAAATATTATTAGCCATATCCCACTTTACAGATGGGAAACCAAAGGAACGATTGATGAAACAATTTGGTAAGACCATGGGAAGACCTCCAGAGATTCTGGAAAAAGAACCCAAGTTACCTAACCTCTTTCCTAACATTCCTGTGAGAAAGACTAAGGCAGATTTGGGACAATTTCTTCTGTACATTTAATACTATTATGGAATACTTCAAACATTATGTCAATGCTATGTTAGCACAGGAAAAACACTGTATTTAAGGGGCTTTTTCTAGTGTTTCCTTCCAACTCATAAAAAATTTTAATGACCAGCACACTTTTCTTATTATATGTCTCAACTATTTTCAGGAAACTGAATTCTAGCTAAATAGTTTAGATGACTGCTATTTCTCCTGTAGACAAAAACAAACAAACAAACAAACTCAAACTAAAATAACAAAAGTAAACCATTTTAGATAGCTGAATAGTGTTTCATTACTTCTTGTTTTAAGCTTTGCTAAGTTTTGATTTGGGGTGGATGCTGGAGTTCTGTTTGATTTGTGTGTTTTGGTTATTTTTTTAAATAGGTGTAGCTGTTCTATGCTAGAAGTGCATTGAAAGAGCTGTCACCTTAGACTACCACTCTAATACACCTCTTACCTGACTTACTGGATCACAAGTGGTTGTGATGTCCATCAGGAAAAGGAAACTAATTATATACCAAAATGTGCATGGATTTCTTCCATTCCATGCCATATCCAAAATATTTATTTAGAAACCACATCCCATTCCTTTCAGCTAAATACTAGCTTTCACCAGTTTTCAAAATCCTCAAAATAAAAAAAGCATTTAACCAAGTATTACATATACTAAAACAGATTTCAAACTTACGGTGCAATAATGGCTCTAGCAGGTCTTTTTGTGGACTGTACTTGAGAAAGCCAACCTTCTAGTTGTGCATTCAGCTGGGGTCCTATGAAGACACAAGGAAATACTGAAGCCATAAAAGAATCTAAAATACCTTAAGAATTAATAAATGTCCAAAAGTCCAACAGATTTAAAATAATCTTAAATTTGAAAGCCTGTGTTTAAATCTAAAAAAAAACCCCACCACCACCACACCACCAACAAAAAAAACAGTAAAGCAAACATGGCTGTACTGTTGGAAGGTTGCACTAGGAAAGTTTCAACCTCCTAGGCCAGAAAGTTTATTTATTGCATGTCCAAACACATAATTACTGGGTTTTTTTTCTCTGTGGATTGATGCACATACCATTTCATCACTAGAAAGGATGGCTGCTGATCTCAAAAGAGAGGCTAACAGATGATTGATTCCTCTGGTAACGGTATTTGCAGAATTCGGAAGTAAAAAGTTAAGACAACCTATACTAAGAGAGCCCGATATGCGAAAAGGATATAATACAAAGACCTTACATACTGACATGATAGTAATGGCTATGGTATTTAGTCCTTTATTATTATCAAGTAAGCATAAGAGCAGAACACAAAGCACACTAACCTGGAAAAACTGTAAATAGAAAGGAAAAAGCCAAAAGTGAGAAGACACCATGCTTATACCAATGCCTTAACAACTTCTGGTCAATCAACATGTACTACAAGTACATAAACTTCCTGGCAACACTAACTGTGATAAATCGGTCAATCCAACATTTAACTTTTTTTTTAGCTGAATTCTATACCTCAACAAGTGGCAAATATTCTGAATTCAATTAGCTGACAGGTGATAAAAATGCTTTCTAGAAATACAACACTAAAACCCCCACATTTTGGTTATTTCCCATCACAAAGAAAACTTTCTGATCTAAAACTATTCCTGAAGAAGCAAGTCTGGCAAATACAGTGCAACATTTTTTATATTAAAGAAAACAAAACAAACTTTCAAGTAAAACTCATCCAGCTGCTATTGTTACAAGTAACATATCATTAACAGAGAGAAAAAGATGCACTTTTTTTGGTTGACACTATGCTTTTGACAGAACTGTATATGAGCAAAGTTCATCTGTAAAGTACAGTACAGTAAGCCCCTTTTCTTCTACTGTGCATGTTGCAGATTTTCTGTATCTTCCCCATGCAGGTGTAAAACCACCAACCACCAGAAAAAGTCAAAACCAAATTAAATACCTGAAACTATTTCACAGCCATGTTCCAAACAGCTCAGATCTCAAGCTGACAGCTCTCCAAGAAGCTGACAAGAACTACAGAGAACTGCAGCAAAGATGTCAACTTTCACAGAATCCAATCACTCACTCACCAGTGATAGCCAAAAAGCTTTCTCTAGAAAACCTGGAGCGGTGGGGGCAGGCTGTCAAAGCCATCATTTTTTATATAAAACTTAAATTCATGCATTTTATGAAAAAAAGGATGACTTCTGTGGTGGTAAAGAATCCTACTGCTTACATGAAGAATGTGAACTAGTGCAATGCCATTTCCCTAAGCCTACAATCATGTTAAATGCCTTAGTCGCTGTCTACAGCTCTAATAAGGCAAAAGAGTGACATTGATTAGCCGCTGTCACTCCTGTAATACAGTGATTTTATGAAATGATGAAATTGTCAGAAAAACCCCCAACAAACCCAAACACACACCAATTTTGTTCTGCTGCTTCTGTTGCTTGGGGAAATTACAAGCAGCAGAGACATGCAATAGAGATAATGATTATGACATCTTAGAAAATGGAGGCTGTTGGGGAAGCTAAGTAAAAATAAATAGATTTCTATTTCCATCCTCTTTCTAAGCTACTCTGAGACTAACAAAACAGTACTCTATTACAGTCTTACCACTTTTATTTTTTGTATACTTAAGAGAATCATAGTATACCACGTTGGAAGGGACCTCAAGGATCATCTGATCCAATCCTTCTTGGGAAAAGGATAGCCTGGACAAGATTGCCCAGCACCCTGTCCAGATGAATCTTAAAAGTGTCCAATGTTGGGGACTCCACCACTTGCCTGGGGAGATTATTCCAATGGCTGATTGTTCTTGCTGTGAAAAATTTTCCTCTTGTATCTAATCAGAATCTCCCAGGAGTAGCTTGTACCCATTACCTTTCATCTTTTCCACGTGACTCCTTGTAAAAAAGGGAGTGTCCACCTTCTTTGTAGCAACCCTTTAAATACTGGAACATGGTCATAAGATGTCCCCTAAGCCTTCTTTTCTCAAGGCTGAACAAACCCAGTTCTCTCAGCCTTTCCTCATACAGCAGGCTTCCCAGTCCTTTGATCACCTTCGTGGCTCTTCTCTGGACCCTCTCCAGCCTGTCCACATCTTTTCTGTATAGCGGGAACCAAAATTGAACATGGTATATTCCAGGTGTGGCCTGGCAAGCGCTGATAATGCTTGTCTGGGATAGTGACTCCAAAGTCATCTTCAAAGAGCGAAGACACAAATCACCGAAAAAAAAATTTAACTTCCTAATTTTCCCAAAGTATGTAGAAGGACACAGTACTTTCTGAATTAAGCTCTTTAGGAAGACACAATTATTTTTTTTCAAACACCCACTACACAGAGACTTAAACACAACATGACTCTGCCCCACCTGAACCCTTCTCCTCAAAGATGATCCACAGGCAGCACAACAGCAGAAGGGCCAGAACATCTCAAGCAGAGTGAGACAACCTTCAGACTCTCTTCCCCAATGAAGCACAGTGCT